AATGTAAATATAAATAAAGATGTCTCTTTTCACGTTTGCAGCTGGTTATGATGGTAACATAAACATCTGGAGAATCAGTGACGGACTCCTGGAGCGTAGCATTGAAGAAGTCGGGGAAGACATTGATGACATACAGTTTTGTGACAACGAGAAGTACATTGTGGCTACCACTGCCATGGGATGTTGTATTTACCGATTCCAGAATGGTGAATTAATTAATGAAATTGCGAAAGATTCAACAGAGGACCTAAGCCGTCCAACAAACATCTTCTGTGTGAAGTCAAAAGCTTTCATTGTAGGGTTTGGTTATGTAAAAATGATAGATTTTGAAGTTAGCTCTGAGCCTCAGATTATCGAAGGTGATGTCGCATCAGAGTTGGGAAATGCACCGACTGTGTACTCTGAAACTATGTTTGGCGTGACTGATGAGCTCGTGGCATTCAAAGACCCATCGCATAAATTATTTACAATTGCAGACACAGGCAACCAACTTGCGCTAGTGAGGAGGGCGAGAATATTCAAAGAAGATGATGATGAGGGAATACGTTTGTTGACCAGTACACAAAATGGGGATATCCTGTTTACATCTAAACCGTCCAATAAACTGTTGCTGTATGACGTTAGAAATGATGTCATGCTGAAAAGTGTTTTTCTTGATGCTGTTAACGAAGATCCGCCAATTTACAACAGATTGTGCAGATCGCTTGCTGGTCCGTACTTCATAGGGATGACTTCAAACAACGCAATAATGTGGAATATGGAAACTGCAGACCAATTACAAATACTTCCCGGATTCAAAGTTCGATCTGTGGTGTCCACACAAGGGCACATTCTCATTGCAAGCTGCTATGACGACCATAGTGTGAGAGTGTGGGATTCAACACGACAGAGAGACACCATGGACAATACGAACATTTCAAAATTAGGCAGTCCAAGTGAGAAATTCGTCCAAATTCAAAATTTTTATAAATCATCAAATCAGAGTGAGTTTGCTACAATATCTGTAGTAGATGAGAATTGTGTACGCTACAGTATCTGGTCTTTAAATACCGGAGTACCGGAAAGAAGTTACACAGCTGACAATATACCCTTTGACAACTCTGGACGAAATCTTCTGTATTGTCTAGATTCAAGCAAGGGATGTTGCAGAATCGGTGATGGTGACGAGAAGACACTCAGTGTTGTAAAATTTGATAATTGGAGTAATTATCACAAATGCGGAGAAGGCAAGACCTCACAGTATCTCTTCTGTGCTCTTGTCAGTGAAGGCAGAGAGATCCTTGCAGGGAGCCCTTTTGAGAGAGATATTCTTCTGTTCGGTGTTGAAAA